GTGCTATTTAACCAAACACTGGAGCTGAAACTCGGTGTGTGCAGACAACATAATTGAAGTTGCACGAACTGTATTTACCAGCTCCTCCAACTTGCAGACATCTGCCTGTCTGCAGTGCAGCACTGACTGCCTGATCCTCTGCAACTGCTTGGAAGGGGTCCAAGCTGTGACAGAGCACTGAATCACACACTCCTTTATCTCGCAATCAGTGTTAAATGAAGAGCTAACATGTGACAAATGTTAGACATGTTTCTTAAAACACGGTTGGAAAGCACTCCAGGTACTTGAGGTATTTGTGTAAAACATGACAACGTTGTTCTTTTAGCCTAAAACTGGTGTGTCGGTGCTGCTTGTTCACAGAAAGGTAAAAATTAGTTTGTAGAAAGTCCACTTCCTGTGGGAGTAGCTCCTCCTCAGATGGGAGAGAATTAAAGGGTTTAGATGTATTGAAGAAAGGGGAATGTTTCACTAAGGGCAAAGACACAAGTCTTGTTTTGCTTTTCAAGGCTTTTTTTTTCCTCTCTTCATCGGCTTGTTGTGCTGCTTTTAACTTATGTAAGACTGGTTTAATTTCTAAAGGTGGCCAAGAGGTTGTAGATGTCCTAGAGCCTTCTAAGTTTGACTCCTAAAGCCTTGTGCTGTGAATGCATAACAAATTAATGAAATTACTCTTGTGCTTGCAGGACTTGGAGCACCATTTGGGTCTGGCCCTGAATGAAGTACAAGCTGCAAAGAAAACGTGGTTCAACAGAACAATAAGCTCTATAAAAACAGTGACTGGAGTCCAAGGAAAAGAGACTTGTTGAAAAGCAGTTCTGTCAAACACACCTTTTAACACAACACCTTTTGTTGCCTTCCTTGGCCAGATGTTTAATTCTGTGACATGAGAGGACCAGAATGTAAATAAAATAGAAACACAGCATGTCAGGATTTCAATAGGTCAGTGATAAAGAGGATGGAAACACAGGAGAGGTTTTATTGCTAGACATGGGATGTTCATACTACTGATATTTAACAGGTGATGTAGCTAGATTGAAGCTCTTCAGAGAAACACTCCATTCTGCGTCTGGCTGGAGGCTTTTCACAGACTAGGTACGAGAACTTACCAAACCCTAATTGTTAAGTTTACATATGATAGGTTTTTTTACAGTTATAACCTTTTTTAATATTTTATTTGAAAGGAAAAGTGTCACTAACGAAGTAAAAAAAAAAAAAAAAGGAAAAAAAAAGGAAAAAAGGAAAAAATGCAACAAAAAAAGACAACTTTATCAAGAACTACATCAGTGCCAGAAAGCAGTCCCCAGAGGTAGGAAATGGAGAGTAGGAGGTGACATGTTTTGCTTTATGAATGGGGATGATTTCAGCATTCCTGTCGAGCAACCCCACTTTGTTTTAGTAGATGTAGCATCCATCTCTCTGTGTTTGGCATTTCTTTCTGTTACTAATCAATTCTATGCAACTCTGGGCTTTTTTGGCATGGGCAGCCAAACCAATCCCCCACCGGAGGCTGGGAGACTTGTGGAAGTGCTAGACAAGAATAATGCAAATTCTTGGCGAATTTCCGTTTCTCTTGTGTCATATTGTTCATCCACATATCAACAGCGTTCCCTGCCCCCACCAGGACTGCTCAAGAGTACTGATGATGTGGATGGGCTGACATGGAACTGAGTCTGTCTGGGGTTTGTCCGGTTTCTGTTTTGTTCCTGTTTGTTTGTTTTTACCCGGCTGTAGCAGGGCCTTCTGCGGAGCTCCCCCGGAGCTCCCAGGTTTTAGTTTTGCACATAGGTATGAATGGGACAAAGAAACAATAAACTGAGATATATATGAGGCAGAAATCACAGCGTGGGTGTAGCTGCGAGCATCTCTAGCTGTCACCTCTCTTCCCTGGTGGTCCCGAGGGGGTGTAGGTCGTTCTTCACGCTCGATGCAGTTGCACTAATAGGTGCTAAACGTGCTTGGAGTCCTTATTCCTTGGATTGTATTGAGTTCTCACCAGAAAGCTGTAGAATGGAGTTTTGCACCTTGTAATTTTTTAATTTATAATGGTTTGTGTTATGCTGAAGTATCTATTGCATCAGTGGATAAATTTTGTGTGCAGTGTGAGTATAAGCTGGTAACAATAAGAGGCACTGGTTTGTATATAAAGATATTTGGTTTATTTTGTATTTCTACCTTTTTCTTGTTTACTGTACTAATGCTAGCTAATGTACTCTGTAACTACGGGATAGAACATGCTATGTCCAAGCTTTTTTCCTTAACTGCATACATTATCCCTATTGTTTAATACCAAAAAAAAAATACTGTAACTCCATCAATATTAGATGCGTGGACATTGTGGTAGCATAGTTGCAGTGTGTATACTTTATGAATTGAAATATAAACTAGTAAAATTGTATAACTATTTTGTTGTTTCATTTCATTCGAACAGGAAGTTAATTAAATATTTTGCAATATAAAACTAATTCTCTTCTTAAAGTAGAAGCAGTAGCATCTGCAGGCTTCTCCAAGACTGAAACTATAGTCATGCTGCAAAGGGCTTTGCTAAAAAAGACTGCATGTTCTGAATGCTGCCAACACTGGTTTATATAATAAAATCTAGGGTTTGCTTTGAAAAAAGAAACTGCAAAATGACCTTGTGCAGCTTGAGACTTGTGACTCAGTATTTCTCAAACATGCCCAATTTAGAACATTTTTTTTTTCCATGGCCCTTCAAATTCTGCTTGAATCTGCAAAATAGATGTAGGCAAGCTCTGCTTATCACCATCAGCACCAAATTCCGTGGGGTCACGTGTGGTTCCCGTCATCCTTCCAGGATTTTCAGCCTTTGCCGTGCGACTGGAGGATGCACTAATTGGGTCACGGGGCAGCTCAGCTCCCCAGCTCCGTGTTCTGCAGAGAGAACAAGGAGTAAAAATGCATTTTTGTCACCAAAATGACTAAAGGTGACTGGGGAAGCAGCCCTGCTCTAGGAGGCTGTTGTGGTGTCACCTTTCCAGCCCTACTTTTGCTTTAAGAGAATGGCATTACGTGGCTGTGCGTGGTCTCTGCTGCTTTGTCTTGCCCAGAGGGATATCCCTTGGTAAGGTCAGCTCTGCAATTTCTCTGTAATTACAACTTTTAATTAAAGTTTAAAGGTAAGTAGGGAGAGGAAGAAACAACCCAGAGCACTTCATTCACTTGTCTTCCTCAAAGGAACTGGGAAATGGTGTAAGAGTGTACCTTCCTCCAAAACTGAGGTACTTAGAGGGAGGGGAAAGCTGCTTTATTGTTCAGATTTCTTCCTCTCTTTAAGTAAACATTACCTCCAAATTGCAGGCAGATATACTCCCCATTTTAGTATGGATGTGGGACATCCATAACTGCTTCCCAGCATTTCATCCAAAACATTTCATAGGCAGTTTCCAGCCACTATGGATTATTTCACATGCCTACCTGAAGGTTTTTGATGCACAGAATTACCAAGGCATTTCACTCCATCTAAAATATCCACAACTAATCAAGAAAAATGGATCCTGTGCTGAGATGTGCATTTTTTGAAGCACAATTACATGGAATTACACAAGGAAGCAGGTCAGTTTTAAGATGAGGAAATTTGCAGATGTTCAAAACTATGAATAAGCAAGGTAAAAACCCAGGGACATTGAGTCAGAGCTGCTGTGAAGCCCTGTAAGTGAAAAGAAATGAGGGTGTTTGGCAGCATTTTTGGCATTAATGGGATGGTTACTTGCTGGTAGTCAATTACCCTTGAGCTCACATGTGCCTCTAAGCTGGGTTGGAGCACTGAACTGGGTTTAATCCCCTGTGCCCCCGGCTCCAGCCTCCAAATGCTTTGCGTGTTTGTGCCGTATCACTCAGTTCCGATGGGCTCAGTGTGGGAGCTCCAGGGTTACAATCTCATTTGTGTGGCAGAACTTCTTGGCTGCTCAGGGTCCGCAGCTGGAAGTGGATATTCAGGATCTGTCAGAAAGTTTTACCTTTAAGCATTGCTGGTAAGCCGTCTGGAAATTTATATAACTACCTCCCTGACTTTTTTTTTAGCTGCCCTTCTTATCCGTGGCAGTGATATAAAGTTCCTGTTATCAAGAGGAGGATTTCACTCCATCTGTTCAACAGCTTGGCTCGCGTTCATCCAGCCTAACTTTAGACACTTCGGAGGTGCTGAACATTAAGAGCTTAATCCAGGGAGGTTTTCCAGCCCTGGGTGGGAGCGGGGACAACACTGTGGGTGGATCACCGGGGCTTGTGCCGGTGCCCTGATGGATCAGGGAACCTCATGTGAGCCAACAAACTCAGCTGAGGGTCCTTCTAAACTAAATAAATGAGCCACCACCGGACACACTAGGGACTGCTTTCTATTTTATTTTTTCCTCCTTTTTCCTCCATTTTTTTTATTGTGTGGTATTTTTCCTTCTGTATTACCGAAGACAATCAAGGTCTCTGCGTAAAAAAGCCTTCAGGGCTTTGCTAGAATTTACCGCTGCACGTCCTAATGACTTTGAGGAATGAGGGTTTGTTTTGCTGCGTTTTCAGCATGCTAATGAAAAGGGCAGTGGAAACCTGGGCTGAGGGCGTTTTCTTAGGATTGTGTGTCCACAGAGAAGCAGGGAGTACAGGGATGGCAGGACACACGGGCGAGCATGAGGGCCCTGCTCAGGAGCCACGTTTTATGGGTGTAGCATTGAAGTCGTGTTCCCTCATGGTGCTCTAAGTTCTTGCTGAAGGGGGGATGAGTGGAACCGAGCTGACATTGAAGTGCGACATGCGTGTGACTGTCTCAGGCTGGTGTAGCCTGAACAAACCATCCCACCCCTGGGGCTCCGCGAACCCCCACCCGGCTCAGCGTGGCCGCCGCCTCAGCGCCCTCACGGCTCCCGCCTCCCGCCCGGGGGCGGGGCGCACGGGCTCGCGACGAGCTCTGATAGGCTGGCGAGGTGATTGGCAGCAGGAACGGCCAATGGGAGCCGGGGGCGCGGGAGCGGCACCCTTCTGTTCGCTGTGAGGGCCGTGGGAGTCGAGGCGCGGCGCCATTTTGTTTGCCGTGAGGGCCGCGGGAAGGGCGCAGGCACGGGCTGCCCGGCGGGAAGGAGGTGCGGAGCGGGGGCACACTGCTGCCGGGCTGGAGGAGAGCAGAGGCCTTTGGGCGGGGCGGTGCATCGTGAGGGAATCGCGGGGTTCCTCCCAAAGCTCTCCCAGCGTCTGTGGGTGTCAGGAGAGCGCCAGGACACGGGACAACAGCAGGGCTTTAGATCAAACCATTAACTGCTGGAGATGGGTGATACTTCGGGGAAAACCTGTGCAGAACTTAGAGGGCGTTAATGGCCCTTGTGGAGAAGATGTGAAATTTTCCCTGGATTTGCACGGGATTTAAATTGCTTTGCCTGGTTTTTCCCCCTTGCAGACGCCCTCAGGCCCCTCAGGGAATTCACGGGCTCCTCCCTGGTACAGGCTCTGCTGGGTGCTGGTTGTGTTGCAATGCTGGGAGTACCGAAAGCTCAAATAAGGAAAAATAAACGCACTTTGGTAAATCTTAGAATCACTGAGGTCATGCTTGGGCAGATGTGTAAAGGGATGCTATTTCTGTGCAGTAATTAGTGTAGAAAAAAATACTGCTATAGTTTATAGGTTTACACACGTAATGCATACAAATACAGAGGGTAAACACTAGTTTAAATAGAACTTTTTTGTTCTTGAAGTAACAGGAGAAGAATGTGGTTTATCTAATCTCCTCCTGAGGACTGCAGAAGCAGTTTGCTCACCAGTTTTGTGAAATATCTTGTATTTTTAATTGAGTGATTGTTCTACTTGGTTTGGCCCGAATTGGCATAGATGAAATTGCCACAGATGGCACTGTAAAAGTCCTGCACCCTGCAAGACTTCTAAAGAGCAGTGTTAAATAGCAGAAATCATTTTAATTGAAAAAACTCTTAATGTGAAATTAAATGTTCTCTATATTTTTAGGGAGCTAAAATCTATTCCAATAAAATTCAGCAGTTAGGTGATTCAGATAACGAACTAACAAAGAATCTGTCAGGATGCCAAGTAGCATCCAGCCAGAAATGCCCAGCATTTGCAAAAACCTGTGTGTGTGAACCATCATTTCCTTTTAGCAAATCCAGAATCTACAATGTGAGCAATACCTGGAGTAATTACAAAACGAGAACATTCCATTTTGTGAATCTGATCTGAAAGTTATGTCCTTGTGCAAAGACGATCTGCTGGGAGGAAGTGTAGTAAAATTGAAATGTGTTGGCAGTAAATCTATGGGATGTGTTTCTAATACATCTTGAACTTGGCTTAAAGTCTGTCTGATCCTCTCTTGGTTTACTAACATGGGTTGAGATACGAGGTGTAGCAAACTTCATAGCGAAAGTTTATCACATAATGGGAGTTTTTCAGAATACAGAAGTCTTATAATGCATGTTGATTAAAATGTTAGGGCAAAAGTATTTTTTAATGAGCTTTAATGGCTTGAGTTGGAGGCGATGTGACCTTAGTTGTTCTCTTGCTCTCTCGTGATCTCACCTTAAGGGCCCTTGGTGTGTGGTTTAAGTGTGGCCATGGTGGTCACTGGAGGTGATGAGGATTCCAAGTGCAGGTTGTTTTATGGAGCAAGCTGGGTCAGTTGTGGTGTCACAGAGGTCCACCTTCATCAACAGCTTGTGTGGCAGAAGCTGTGGTTTTTAGGAAGGTGCTGCTGTGCTTCAGATGGAATGGCAGCCACTGTGGGCTCTGAGGCTCCAGAAGGTGCAGAAGTGATGAGAGACTTGCAGGCTGCCAGCTCTGAGCAGGAGCCCTCCCCATGCCGAGCACAGTTAGTGTGTGCCATGAAAACATCCAAGCTGTGTGTTTAAACTCCCTGCTGTGAGCGTCTGTTCGTGCAGGGAGCTGTCACATCCAGGGTGAAGGGGAGCCCTGGAGCCACAGCCATAAAAGCTGCCAGGGAGGGGACGCTGGAATAACTCTTGATATGGGGTTTACTAATCTGGCTGGTCAGTTTATACCCCGCAGGGAAAAGAGAACTGCTGTGCAGATTTTATTTGATTGCTGTGTCTGAGAAAAGGTAGTGAAGGACCCTCTGAGATGAGGCAGTGCTGTGCCACTGTCAGCTGTCACGGCGTAAGCAAAGGGGGTTTACCAGTTCTTTGAGGAACACCCCAGCAAACCAACGTGGTTTTGGCACAGTTCTTGGCTGACAAGAAAAAAGGGAAGCAACTTAATGCCTTCTGTGTCCTGAATGTTTATGCTCATTTAAAGAAGTGGTTTTACAGTAATTTAATACACACCAGAGAGAATGGGTGGGAAAGAGGAGGAGGTTGAAGGCTGGTGGCTTACAGAGCAATGTGTGTCTGAGCTCTCCGCTTACCCAGGGCATGGTAGGACTGCTGCATAATCCCCCAGGGAATCACTCGTGGAACAAGATCTTGTCTAGCACAGAGGGGGAAGGATGGTGTTTCTGTGTGATGACAACTGTGCATCTCCCTGAGGTGATTTTAGCGTGGTACAGTGCAAACCCACAGGCAGAGGGGCTGTGGGAGCCTGTGCAGACTGCTGTGAATTATGGATGCCATGGCTGCTGCTGCAGACATGAATAGCAAACTAGAGCTCCTGGGTGCCCCCAGCCTCAGAACTGCAGGAATAGCCTGATTTCAGAGGCCACCACTTCCTCAGCAGCCTGGACTCTGAATGTCTTTAGAATTTACAGGTGCTGGTCATTTCTGTGGTTAGGACAGAGTGAGGAGGCCACTAATTAGTATAACTGACAAGTTCTAAATTCTATTCAAGTCATCATTCCTTTGATCTCAGTGAGAACAGTTTAATGTACAGACAGAAGAAGTTGCATGTTTTCAATGTGTAACAGCATCTTTCTCAAAATAACATTGTTCATTAAACCCAGGGTAAGTGACCTGTGCAGCTCAGAGCCCTGTCCATGTGTCTGCTTTATGCTGGATGCAGGAATCCTGTGGCTACCTCAAGATCTGCAGTATTGGCAGTGTAGGAGTTTGTGTGGAACTGCTTTGTAGGGCAACATAATTGGATTTACTGAGCTGTAGTTTGTCATCTTGCCCTGGTTTAGCTTTCTGTCTTCCACTGTAATCCAAAGTTACCCAGATTTAAAAAAAAAAAATCTCTTTGAATAAATCATAACCAGCAGAGAGCTGAGCCTGCCTTTACTGTGAGCAGGAAATGCCACCTTTGGTGTGTGCCACCAAGGGGATGAGGAAAGTGTTATTTGTGCAGGGTATATGATCCTTTTTTTGAGATCCAGAGGCCTTTTTAGGTTTTTGCCCCATGTTGATGCCTGGAGCAGAAAGGGTCTTTTGTTGTAACTGTAACAAGAATACACTCAGGCCTTTTACGGCTTTGCAAATAACTGTGCTGGAACATATAGCCCAAAGTGAAGATGAATTTAGGGCCCTGAAAGCAGTGGCAGCTCCAGTTACTTTCAGTTGATTGTACCAAGGATTGGGGTCACGAAAGAGAAGGATAATTTACAGCTTAGCAAATGGGAAAGAAAAGAACTCTTTCTAGCTGACTTGCTGGAACTCAATCCTGCAGCAAACCCCCAAAGTCAGCATAATGTCGTGAGCGATTAAGTGAGGTGTCACTTCTCTTCTGGCAGAAAGAGGGGTGCTGTTTTGGGCAGGTTTATAGATGCAGCAGTTCTTTGCACATGGAAGTTACAAGCTGGCTTGTTACTTAGACATCAGTCAATAAATATCTTTTTCCTGCTTCCTGTGTAATCACTTTTCCAAGGTGATGTCGATTGCAGCAAGGTAAACTGGGCATCCTGCTTGTTAAGCAGATGGTTCCTTCTGCATGGATCCCTTCAGTGCTGTGCGAGAAAGGGATGGGGTTGGAGTGGTCAAGCAGTGTTGGGGAGGGCCTGAAAATGCTGAAGGAGCTTTCTGTTGCAGATTTCACTGTGTGCATTCATGTGCAGATTCCTAGTGAGAGGCACCGCAGGTTACCCAGAGAAAGTAGATGGACTTGGGTATATGTTGGTTTGGAAGGGTGAGGGGAGGTCAAGGGACCACAGCTCCAGCTTCCCTGTGCTCCCAAGCAAGACACCCTGTCACTGCCTGGGCAAACTGAGCTTAGCTACAGCAGGACAGGAGTAAAGCTGTGGGAGATGTCAGGCATTTTCACAGTGAACAAAGAAGGATGTGCCAACCTCCTTTATCAATCCAGCCCCAGTATTGTGTGACTCCTCCTGGGCATCACTCCCTTGTCAGCCCCTCTTCCATTCCTGCCAGGCCACAGAATGCCCGCCAGCTCCTGGAGTGGGCCCAGCTCGTTCCATGAGCTGTCACTGACCAGCAGTTGCCAGGCTGCTGCTGAAGAGCTGTTGGCCTTCTCAGCACCTCGGAGATGATAATCCCAAGGGAGCTTTCGGAATGGCCTCTTGGTAAACCAGCTGACAGTAGGCATGTGCATAGGTTGACATTATGCTGATACAGAAGGTAAAACTTCAGTTTCAGCCAAGTGTTAATGATGTTTTCTTAACTGCCTGTTCAATTCTTTGTGGATCTTACTTGCTAAATATTTGATCCAGCTCTGAATTTTAAGAGGTGTGTTGGTCTCTCAGTTCTTTGTGCATAACTGGCTTGTTTGCAGCACACCAGCAGACCGGGCTGGCTGCACACTGTCCTGTCGAGGGAAAGTCTCACACCAAGTCCTGGGCCAGTCATCATGTATGCTGAGCTGTGGGATTTCATATATCTCATTTTATTAAAAGCATTCTCTGTTATAGTCAGCTTACAACAGTTTTTAATCCTTAAGTTTGATCTCTTGTAAATTTTATTAATGACCTCTGCACTCAGATTTTTTAATTCAGCATTTCAAGACTGGAAAAAAACACTTCTAAGAACAGTAAGAGTATATGTTAAATGTCTTCTCTAGCTTCCCTTCAAGAGTAAAACTGGGTTCTGTAACTCTAGACACCTGGACATACTTTGTATATTCCAGGATAAGAAAAAAGTTTGAGAGAACCTTACTTGTTCTTTGTATAGGGAATTTATCTTTTTAGAAAATAGACATCCGGTGTTTCTAATTAGCTAAATACTAGGAATTGCCCAGTTTTTTTCCCTTCCTGGCTTATCTCATCACAGCCTTCTCTGGGCTTTTCTGTAAGTGCTTCCAAGGCAAACCCCAGAGGTAGTTGTGTGCAGCAGCCCTTGCACAGTTGCAGTCCTGAGTGCTCTGTTCACTCTCACCCCTGTGAAGGAATGCATTCTGCTTGTTCCAGCATAAATGTGCCTTCTGTTTACATCTCCAAGTCATCTCTGCTAACACTGCAGCCTTCAGAAGCCTTTCTCCCCTTTCTGCTGAGCCTGTTACCTGACTCAGGCTCAGGTTCATGGACCTCTGTGGTTTGGCTTCCCAGGCTTCAGAAATCCCTGAAAGCCAGTTCCCTCTCCGTAACCAAACCCCCAACCCAATCATTAGGCCGTGATTCCTGTTTGCAGAGATAAGCCTTTATTGGAGCTATTGGAAGCAATGGGACATGGTTCTGGTTTTCTATACAGAGAAGTCTGTAGCACTGGGTTACAATCAGTGGCAAATGACCCGAGGTTACAGTGCAGATCTGTTGTGTACAGTCAGGAACAGTGGTGGCGTACAAACCACGGCACAGAAGCCAAATGAAGCCGAGTGGACGGTACAGCAGCACGGGAGGAAGCAGCTGAATGTACAGAGAGCATTCCCTTGACATTTGCAGGCTTTTTTGGCTAGTGAGTAGAGACAGCTCAATTTAAAATTCAGTGTGCAGTTATTTTTCTTCCCACTCAACTGCTTCCAAATTAAGAAAATTTGAATGTTCAGATCACATTTTTAATGCTATAAATAGTTACGGTTGTTGCCAAATTACTTTATTTGAAATTTCTTTATTTAGAGTATGGTCAGGAATAGTTCAGTCATCATTGTTCTTTACTGATTACAAATTGGGAGAAAACTGAAGGATTTTCAAAGTAGTCTGTAATTAGACCACAAGGATCTCTTGTAGTTCATTTGGAAGTTTAATTCTGGGTAACTTCTTTTGATAGAGATTTATTGGGAAGAAAGATTGAATTGTCTACCATATTACTCATTTGTGGAATTCATTCATAGTACTTAAGGTTTAGATAGTTTAAAGGTCATACTTCTTTGTATTCAATCCATATCCAATCTTAGTGTAAAAATAAACACTCCATCCTCTATGGATAAATAAATCCATCTGTTGGCTGCAGGTCAGACCTTTATTGGTGAAAGAGATTTAGAAAAATAGAGCTTTTCTTTAACGTTTACTATGCTGACCCACAAAGGAAAAGTGAAATTCATTCAAGTCTAGAAACAGAAATACAGTACAAGTGATTTATAGAATTGCATTCCCTCTCTCTACAAACTTGCTGAGCATGAAACACTGCCCCAAAGCACTGCCTCTGTCTTTTCCTTGTCTTGGAGAAGGAATTGTCATCAGAGAAGTCACATCATACTGCACTGCCAGATTTCCTGTCAGAAGGGCTCTGCCTCCTGAGGAGTCTTTGCTTAGGAATTATTTCGATGGATGGATGGTGGTGGTTTGGGTTATACAAAGGTGATGATATTTTAACCCAAATTAGTGGGTTATACAAAGGTGATGATATTTTAACCCAAATTAGCAGCAATTTTAATTGATTTGATTGATGATGATTTTTGGTGGGTGAAAGCTCAACCATTAAAAAAAAAAAGCCTATGATTGGATTTGGAAAACGACAGCCTTTCCTCAAAATCTCCACTTCCAAGCCTGCTTCCCATCGATGTCCTCCTCAGCAAGGGGCTGGTACGTTTGGCAGCACAGGTTTCATGCTCAACTTTGTCACTGAGAGCTAGACAGGACTTTAAAAAGCACACGGCCCACTGGGACTTGCTCTGCTGTAGTACTTCAGTGCTTTTGAGAGCCCCCACCCCAGCAGTGTTGCTCTCTGAGAAGTGCAAGTGTCCCAGCCTGGCTCTGGGGCAGCTGGAGGACGGTGACATTCCGCAGTGGAAGCAGTAGTTAAGCACCAGTTACTGGCCCCTGCAGAGGCTCAAGAGAACAGAATTGCTTCGCAGAGAGCTGGTCGGCCTAAAAAGCTTAGTCAGTTGGATCAATAAATATTGACTTAGGGTTAGGATTAGAAATAAGACACTGCACCTTGGAACTGGAAGACAGAGTCAACTTCCTCCCTTTTCTGTCCAAAAGGAGACTGGCTCCAAAATGTTTGTCCTAAAGGACCTTTGTGATGCCTGACACATAAATCACTAAGCGCGTGTGAATGTACCTGTCCCTTTGGCAGGGAACACTGAATGTATGACTGGACAAAGCTTTGAGGCTTTTTTCTGTGATTTTCTTTTTGTTTTAACCATCTGCTCTGTGTCATGTTGTCCCTGAAGGCGTGTTTACCCACTCCTAAATTATGCAGCATTGCCCAGAGAATGGCTCTGTAGTTGAACATGCTCTCTGCAGTACAGCCTCCCTTTTCCTCCAGTGGATGTGGATTTCCATGCGATAGATGTTATTAGAAAACTACACTTGTCTTTATCCTGTTATTTTTGAGCAGGGAAGCAGTGATATGAATTTGAAAACACAGGAAATAATCTGTACAGCAAATCAGAATTTTCATAATTAAATTCATATGATCACTAACTCTTCAAAAGCTGTACTGCTCTGAATGCTGTTCTCCAGCCCACCATTACTCTCCTTTGAGCAGTATCACTTTCCATCTGCTCAGAAACAGTTCTTTGTGGAAATAATGAAAGAAGAATAAATACTGCCTCTCCTACACTGACTCTGTGAGTTTACAGGACGCCCTTACAGAACTCCCTCAGTTCTGTTGGGAGTGCAGCAATACGCACATTTCGGTATGCATAGATCAGTAAATTGTAGCAGTGCCAGCAGGAAAACAAAACTCGCCAAGATGTCCTGTTCCTCTTAATTAAGCTTGATTTATATGTGCCTGTTGACTTAAGATGTGGTTAGTGTCCACTGCTGGGATGATGCAGTACCCTGAGTAACTTTGTATTGATTATGCTTACACAAGCTTGTGCTTTTCCAAGAACACAGAAATGGAGCACAAAGAAAATAAAGAAGTATATCAGGTTGTTTCCATGGAACACTGTTAATCTATTCATAGCAGCTTCGAAGTATGAAGTTAAAACTTACCTTCTGCTCTACTCCCTTCGAAACAGATGAGTGCTATGATTAACTCCCCTTTAGCTTAAAAAATAGAAGTGGATAGAATGTCAAAATACGTTTTGCTGGTAAGATGAACCTACTTTGTCATAACTAGTTACACCAATATTGGTGACCTGGTACATTACAACAGGTAGTTGTGGGAGCAGTGTCTGCTCTCCCTTGTTGCCTTGCTCCTTTTTGTAAAGGCAGCTTGTCTAGAATACTCTGGGCACTCTAGAAATAACTTAACTAGTATTCCTTTAGGGGGAAATTACTATTATTTCTTTCCCTCCCAAAATTCAGTTGCATGCTCTATACACTGCCTGCAGCTGCCTCCTTATTTTGGGTAGGGTTGCATCAGGAAAAAGAATTTGATGATTGGATTTCTCGTGTTCCTCCCCTGGAAAACCTGCAATCCTGGACTCGTTTCTGAACAGAAAAAAAAATTAATCTCCTGTAGCAACATCACTATCAGCTTTTAGCTGTATGGATAGCTTAAACCTCTTATTTCTTACTAACTATTGAAAAAGCAATACCATCTGCCCCTGCTTTTAGAACATTAAAGCTGCTGGTTTTCCACAGCAGACATAAACCACAGACTCTCTTAATGGACTTGGAAAAGGCAGTGCAGCTTTCCCTCCAACTTCCTGTCTGTGATGCTCTACCTGAGATTGGAGAAAGACGTTCTACTTCATGTTTCTGTCTCTGTCTCGCCGCAGTCCGTCCTGCCAGGACCAGATGCACTCAGAAATGGTGTGTTCGAGCAGGAGCTGCACCACACCTCATGAACTGCAAAGCAGCATAAGGCAGCTGGAGCTTCCAGATCCAGGTAAGAGGCAGGAATGAGGCTTAAGTTTAATCAGTTAAAAATGAATTGCGACTCTTACTCATTCCAGCTCCCCTGTACTAATGAGTGAAGGACAGCCAGTTACATTCAACTAATGCCTTTTAAAATTAAGTGTTATTTGTTCTAGTAGAGATAACAGTCCAGAGGTTTTCACAAACATGCACTTCAGGCTGGTGAGAAAACATTTTGATGTTGTTTACTTACACAGCATAGAAGAGACTGTAGCTTTAATTATCTTATTGCCCCAAACCTTTGAAGTTAGAAATCAGATAAATTCAGTCTCTGTGGTTAAAATTTTTATATGCTCTTACATTCTTACAACTCTAATTTATCGGTACATTATTAATTAAACATGGAAGAGTACTCTCCCCCTGAGAAGGCTTCAGTCTGTGCAAGAGTTTCTATAGACTAGCCTTGATGGGTTCTTTTCAAGTATTACTACTAAACTACCTGTGGTATAGTATATATGACCTTAAATTGTACAGAGTTAAGGCACCAAATACAAGATAAAACAACATCCAAATTCAGAGATCTGCTTTAGAACTGCACATCCCCACACACCACTTTTGGACATTCAGCTCCTCTTAAAAACCAAGGTAAAACACGTGGTCTGAATGTTTCATGCAGTCACAGGAATTGGAGAAAAATCCCACTTTACTGAATTTAAATCTTACTGTGTGATGACCTTTTCTCTTCCCTAACTCCTACCACTCACAGTGGAGCCCTGCCTTGCCTGCACAGCATCAGACAGGCCTGGCAGAAAGAGCACCCTTTCTCCTAAGAGACCCTGGAGAGAGGAACAGGCAGATGTGTCTTACTTGTGCTTTTATGGTTACAAACCAACAAGTGAATCAGTCCCATTATTGTGAGCAGGATGGGAAGAAGGAAGATGTGTCAGGAGCTGTAGGATAACTGAACATAAATAAGTGTGGATTTAGATGACACAAATAAAGCTAAGGAGACATAACTCTGGAGTTAAGTAATGAAACAGCTTCATGGTAACAATTCTTTTAATGCCAAATACTTAACTACTGGCTTATGTGGTTTATGTTCCAAAGAAAGGGCAGGGGAACCTGCTGCCATGGTCCATAGGCCCAGGACTTCAGTGCCCAGTTTCTCCCTTGAATTGCTCTACAATGACTTGAGCAGAATTTCCTCTGAGAGTGGAATGAACCCAACAAGCCCTTAGACAAGCTGTCTCCTGTTGTATAGACAGCAGATTCAACTACACTGTCCCTTTGCTTTGCTTTAAACAAGTCAATAAAGTGTCTCATTTTTCACTAGATTATTCAGCAGGAAGCCCGAGAGGGTCTGTGTGCTGAACACTGGAGCTGAGTTACTGTTTTTTGAGACAGAGCTCCTCAGTGAGCCCAGCACAGAGCTCATTTTCATTCTTTTGATGCCAGAGAGGGGAGGTCTTAGGCAGCTTCACGACTGAGAACAACAGTCTGAACTTCATGTTTACACATCCCATCATGTATCCAAAGGAATCTGCAGCCGCAGAGTTCTTGTGCTGTTTCCCAGAGCCACCGGAAATAGGAGCTGTTTTTGTAAAACTGCTTCTGTGACTTGGAACTCAGGGAAGCTGGGACATAGTTTTCCCTTGATTAAGTAACAGGCAACTGTCTACTGAGAATTGAGCTAAAGGCGAGAAGTTTTAATACTGAGTGAGCACATCTTGGCACACCCAGCACAAGAGGCAGAGGGAAACCTGCCATTTTGTCTGAGTAAAGACTGAAGGACTGTCTTGTCTGCCTGCTCTTCATCTGTACAGATCTGGAGAGATGTTCAGGAATCCCACCTCTAGACTGGCTCTCAGAAGTGCAGATGCAGAATTACAAATGAAGCAAGGGACACTTCATTTCAGGGAATTGGTGACTGAAAAGACAGGGACTGCCAGGCTCACTCTCCTGGGGCATTGCTGGGACTGGATCAGGGATGGCACGTTAAAGCTGCTCACATTTATTGCTATCGTGGAGATTAAGAAATGACAAGAGTTTGATGTTCCATAGCTGAGCAGCCAACAAATAGGAGATTTTTTTCCTAGACTAGTTGAAAAATTTCCATGCACCTCCTCCTGCATTTTCTACTTCCTAATAATCTGAGGAACTTGTTGTCAGGGAAATTATTCTCAGTAGCTCAATGAAAGCAAAAAGCCTCAATTTTAGATTTGTGCACTTTTTCCCAATTAAGTTCTTTCAGGGGCTTGAGGGCACAGTCTTCTATTGAGTATGACACACTTTAAATCTTTTTTTCCTACTAGAAGGCAAGTGTTCTCAAAGAAAGAATCCTTGTCTCCAGAGATCAGAGATCCTGGACTAGTTTTCAGATCTTTGTAAATGAGTAGAAATAGTCCCCTGGCACATGAATAAGTTGAAATATTTGTAGCAAAACTAGTTTCTTTGAAGTGCTTCATAGTCTGGTTAAAAGTTTTTAAGAATTTAGACACTTCTGTGTAACAGTTGCATCATTTGAGAGAATCAGCTATTTACTGGGATACTAGAAGGTGATCAGAAGGGGCAGGGCAGGAGGACAGAGTACAGAAGCATAAAGGTATTTAACAGCAGAAAAAGTTGTGGCACCAGCATTTACAGCACATTAAGTGGGAGCCATGACAATTGCTGAATCATCTAATTAGCTCACACTGGCTACATGACAGCAAATTAGACAGATTAGGAACCACCTACCCAGGCACTAAATTGCCTTTGTGAGGGTTGGATTGGGCACTGTGTCCAACAGAAATTGCTTGGGCAACCGAGGCCGCGTGTTCCACATTCCCTTCATGAGCATGGGCTGGCCTCCCTCCATCCACCTGGCACCACGCCCAGGAATAAGGTCACCATGTTCCAAGTCCTGAATGTGTGCTTAGGGAAGGCAGCAAGCACTGGCAGAGAGAGGACACGATGGCAGGAAGCATCACAGCCCAAGCTTTGAGCCAGCCAAGCCCTCCAAACCAGTCTGGTTACTCTAAAACCTCTTCTAGGTAGAACATGGCTGGAGGAATCTCCTGTGGCTGGCAAAGTAGGACTGAAGCAGACCCCCAGAGCTCACAGATGTTACTCCAAAGTCAAGAGCAGTGCCATTCACCTCCAGTACAGATAACACATCAAACAGGTCAGTTCTTTATTGTAAATCTCCGGCTTCTTTTAATCCTTTAAGTGCCAGACACCATCTCCCAAAATACACACGATCATCTGGTTAGCTAAAACTAGCGTTGAGGTGGGTAGTGTACAGGCACAGACTTTCCCTGGTCTCCTATTTATAGATGTACTAATTGAAAGGAACTTCTTCAGAATTCTTCTCCATGAACCAGAAATTCAAACTGTGAAATAACATTTGTGCTTCCCTGGGAAGGTGCTGTGGAATGGGCAGCGATCCTGGCAGCTGCATAGAGCACATGGAACCAGGGGCACATGTTTGGCTGCTGGGCACACGCAGAAGCACAAAGCTCAGGAGCCCTAACCCAGACCTCCAACCTCACAGCAGAGGCACTTCAAACCACGCTGCTGTCAGGAGGCTTTTCAGAGGAAACCCACAAGCATTGTGCAAAAAAGAGTTTCTAGGTCTGCCTTGGCAAAACAGTGCTTGTTGCAACACTCATGAAGCAGATGTTACCCAAATTACTCATCAGATAATAGCCTGATACTTCAGTTAGGTTAAAACCTACTGACAGAATTTGGCTGCTCTCTCAAATGCCAGAGCATCAGGAGGCACTTACAAGCCTACTCTGTGGCCCTGTAATACATGGGGCTATTTTGTTCAAGTTCCACATCAATGAGAGGGGTTCCCAGGCAATCCTGCGCTCTTGGGTCTGATCTCTCATTCCAAGTGGCTGCAGAACCCAGGATTCAGGAGTCTTAAGTACCCCGTTTCACATGTCAGGAAAAGGTTTTCTCTGACTGTGAAGGGAGGCAGCAAAGGCAAGGGGACATTTCAGACATAAGTACTGCATTACAAACAGCAGTGTTTTAGAGAAATTTAGAGAAAAAAGATCCAACAAAGAATTAAAAAAAAACAGCAGGAGAGTGGAATACTTAGGATTGCAAGAGTTAAAAGGATGATGGCAGAAAAACAGGGAAATTCACAGTCACAGCAATTCTGATGGAAAGAAACACAGATGGATTAAGCTGCCAAGCACAGTCCACGAAGAAGCAGATCAAATGAGAGTCGGCAAGATGTTTATTATCAGTCCTTGAACTGGACAGTGCTTGTCAGGCTGACAGCAGTTAGGAAAGGAATACTCAGGAGAAGTTCATTATAATGCACCTTAATGCATCTAAACTCCTGTCTGAAGGAGGCACAGCAGCTGCTGCTCTGGGATCAGCTGCTGCTCTGGGATCAGCACTGCCGGGCCGGGCGGGATGAAAAATGAGCCCAGTTTTAAGGGAGTGTCAGACCCAGCCCCGAGTTTGTACCTGGAAGATAACAGATGGAAACCTGCACCCCCGAGTGGGAAGGACATTCTGATGGCTCATCAGCTGTCCTGCAAGTGTCAGTGGAGGGCTCTGTGCTGCCAGGGCCAGCCCCTGCAGCAGCTCCTCTAGTTCAGTTCCCCATGTGCCACCTGCGAGCTCAGGTTCCTGCCCACAGGAGCAGCAGCTCTTTATCAGCCTGTGAATTCTGTGCACATATCCTGAGCTATGGATAACCTACACACACAATTATTTAGTGAATCTGATGGCTCAGTATTAAAATCAAACACAGTTTATATTTGCTCTTGAATTTTGATGCAGATAGTCTGTACCAAGTCTGCTTGATACCGTTATAAACTGTGATCAGTCACGGGTTTTTTTATGTTTTAATCACTGAATCGAGACCCTAAAATGCTGCTACATCGTCATCAACTTGCTCCCTTTTGCTTTTTTATTTTTTAAGCATTTTTATATAAAAAGAGTTGTTTCCAGCAACTTCAAGTTCTGCAAGTACTGCACTTCTGCAGTTCTGTACTATGCAACTTTGCATAAAGCAAGGTTTAAAAGGCAAATAAAAAAAATAGTATTTTAAAACTACACATATCATGTGCACCAATGGGTCATAATCCAAACCCATTTTAATCCAAGTAAAATGTGTTAAAACATTTACTACAGAACTGAAAACAATTATTTATGGATGGCTGTATCCTGATTTCCAGCTGTAGAAAACCACAGCTAAGCAAATGATTCACGCAGAGATAAATCCCTGCCTGCCTGCCCTCCTCCCCTCCTCTGCACCCGCGGGAGGGAAGCAAACTTGGCTGCTTCCTGAATTAATTTGGCCTAATGTAATTTGATCTCTGCAGATTTTAACTGTAATATCATCAAAGTCTTTCCTTCTTCATTTGGAGTTTAGCTTGAATAGTTTAGGGAAATAATTTCTCTCGTTATCAGTTCGTTAGTGTCACCCCTCCCACATCCCCAGAACCAAGGTGTGGCCTTCAGAGCCTGGCTTTGGTACCTACCCAGAGGTATCCACAGGGATGCAGGGAATGCAGTGCCTGACAGAGCAGTGTCAGTACAGCTTTCTATGCTACACGAGAGAAAAATATTTGAAGGAGAACAGTCTGTTGATAAAACCAAACAATTTCTTAAAAGTGTTAGGTAATATTTTCTTTCTTAACTGGGGGTGTTTGAATTGGTCTTGAGAAATACAAAGTTGGGATTCAGACCTATGTATTACCTCTTTAAACACCGAGTTAAACAAGACATAATAAAAACGCGCCATATACAAGATTGTCACAGATATATGAGATTCTTAGAAAAAAAGCAATAAAAATATTCTTTAAGCCGAAAATAAAATCTCTTACCTTTTATATCAGGATCTCAGCTTACAGTCACTACATTTCTGCTTATTTTATACAAGTGCATATGGCTATGAAGGTCCGGAGAGAATGAGAATAAAGTGGAATTAACCTGCTGAAAACTGCTTAGAAGTCTTAAGCTGCAACATATAGATGTTCCAATACCATTTAAAAAAACATTCACCTTTCAATTATTGCTGATTGACAATCTCAAAGTATCAACATACAAATATTCCAGAGGAAAAAACCTCAGTAAATTTAGAGCAGCAAAGTTTTTTGAACTGGATGTTTCCCAAATACTGTGTTTTCCTAGCATTTGGTGATGGTTTTTAAGAGACACAAAAGCAATCCACTTGACTTTCCAGTTTAGGCCTACCCTTTTTGTGCCTCATATCAATGACATGGGGAAGAGAGAGAGAGAAGATATCATTTAGTTACATTTTGGAAAAAAAAATATATATTCTATTTTTTTCTTCTACCTTTTTGCTACATTTCATGTCTGCTGACATGCACAATGGTACAAAGCACTGCTGCTTCAGGAGGGACCATTGCACGGCTCTGTAGCAACTTGGAGAGGAGACATGCAAATACAGCATAGGATTAAAATTGGGAGGGACTTGAGGAGTGGAAGTCCAGGCAGATGTCACTGCTTGAAGCAGCATCGGCCCGGATTGTGCCTTGGTTTGGTGGTTGGTTTTTCCCCCCCCGACACACCAGTCTTTCCCTTTCAGTGTAAAGAAATAACCAGAAGTATATACACATCTATTGCTATGTACCCAAAGAGAGGACTGTGGCTTGGACTAAGTATTGCTTTTTGTTACATGGAGCAAAGTTCAAGAAGTGAGAAAAAAAACACTTTAAAAAAAAAAAAAAGAAAAAAGGAAAAAAGCTCAGATTCCATGTCTGAAGTTGAGAAACCTCAAAACGAGCCACGTTTTTTCTTGCTTTTAAGACATGTACAAAATGCCATTTGGAGCCACACAACCTGATGGTTCTAGAAGTCAGAGAAGAAATCTTGAGGGCCCAAGTGAATAATAAAAGGTGCGATGCTGAGAGGCTGGCAATAGGGACTGTCAATGAAAAAACCACCTACAGTGGGAGAAGAGCAGAGAAGCAAAAACCTCACGTTAATTGCTGAGACTGGCTGAGGCTAAAGCTCCATTTAAATTTCTCTGCTCTTTCAGCTGCAAGTGGAATTTTCATTGTAAAATGGGCACTTTGAATTCTTTGAAGGTATTGAAACATCTAACACTTCCAAGGTTACCACTTTCTAAACAAAGAACTGACAGCTCATTCATATTTTCAGTAAAGCAGAGAAATGTAAAATATGCAGCAAGGGGGCAAGTTTACAATGTGGTTAGTAACTCCCAACAAATGACAAAAAGTAAAAAATGACTTCTATAAATCGTCTGAAATGACTGCCATCATGTTGGAAAAGAGCATAGCGCCCTTCTTGTCTTTGAAATAAGAACAAGATTTTGGCTTACGAATGTTCATTGTATAGAATTGGTTCGCAGAATGTTTTGTTTGAAATTTTACAAAGCTGGGGATTCAGGAAAAAAAAAAAAGAAACTACAAACAGTTGCCAATTAGGGGAACTCCAAAAGGAGGGGAGGGGGGGAGGTGTGTGGAGGAAAGATTCCTTTAATGAATATTTGATTAACAAAAATGGGCTCTGATCAGCCATGCTTTTTCTGCTCCGTGATGGCTTCCTTTCATCCATAGGCCAGCAAACCAGATCAGTGATTTCTGAGCACCTCAATTTGGGTCCATCCCCAGGCCCTGCTCTGCTCCCGCGGGGGGGACACGCCAGGCTCACCCCTCCTGGCCAGGAATCTACGTCTTATTAAAGTACCACCAGCACCAAGGGCAGGAGAGCTCCGGCAGAAGGAAACCCAGTGAAATGGAAACACATTCCTAAGCACAAATACTTAGCTTAAGAATAACAGCTGCAGTTAATTCCAAGGAAAGCAGCTTGTTCTGTAAGCCACCCCTTATTCAGCTTTTCTAATATTTCTTTCCCTCTAAGGGAGGTGTGGGGGAGGAGGAACTTTACGTTGCTTTAAGCACTGGTTTTACACCCTTGTCACATACAAAGCTCCCCCTGCCTCAGCAGCAGAGTCTGTTAGAGAACAGGGGATAAAGGCAAATCTTTGGAAGAGCAGGAACTAAAGCCAGCCTATGGAAAAGCAACGGGTGAGGGCTGAGGAGAGAGTGCAACCAACAACGCTGCTGATTCGTGGGGTGATACCTTAATAAAGACCACTGGAATCCCTCATCAGAGCCCACAGCAGTCCACAATCCATGGAGACTCCAACCGTGGAGCTGGGGCCTGTCCTGGAATTTCAGACAGGTGCACACACTCCTCATGGAAAAGAGGATTCTTTGGGTTTGAGCACCGACTCTTAGAAAGTACTGGCCTATGGCTGAAGTGTGTCACTTTTCACAGCAGCACTCAACAAGAACTGGGACAATTAAATAGCAAGTTTTCATGGGGACCTTGTTGCTGCTTTAGATTCTTATAAATGTAAGGGGGAAAAGGAGAACCTTTGGTTTAATACACAATTGACAACTAAAATGCTTTCTGTAGAAATGGTGGATGGAAAATCAAGGGTGGGCAGACAATCTTAAAAGTGAAGAAGGCCACAAGAACAAGTGCAATTTTTTTTTTCTTTTGTTTTCTCTTTTTTTTGGTAAAAATGGAAAAGAAAGGAAAACAAGCAGCTTTTGAGCTCTGAAGAACCTGATTGTAACATTGGTGTCGTCCTTTCTCTGGGCAATACGGGTGTAACGTGTATCCCTGGAATTGCATAACAAATCCTTCTGTGGGGACTTCCTTTGTTTAATACTTGTTTCACAGAATGCAGCCTTATACAGAGACAGCCTAAGATTAATTCCCTTTGTTTTGTTTGTTTTTCAGCATTTTGTGTACGAGTGAAAAGTCTTCTTGGATAATTAAGACTGTGTCTAAAATCACAGTTACAGTATGCTGATCTATAAGGAAACTCAGGTACTGATGCTTAACTATAAAAAATAAGATAAAACAATATTTTAACCCAGATTTTACTAAGTTTATTACACACCATAATATTTACAAAGTTAAATGTTAACTGTAAAGTTTCTATCATGTGGGTTTGTTTTTTTTTTTTTAATTTTTATTTTTGTTTTTTAAAGAACTATGCCCTGCATTTAATAACCCTACAGCAAGTACAGGTCATTAACTGAGTCTGTGTGACTGCATCAGGAAACAGGCAGTACTCTTGTGTTACAACAAAACAGTTTATTTGTGATCAGTGTTTTATATTCTATACATCCTTCACAAATTTAATTTTACATAATCGGATACTTCATTTAAAACGTAAGATTTAAGCTTCTAGTTCTTCCCTATAACAGAAGGCTGGTATAAGTTATTTGAAAATGAGGTAACATTTCACAGAACATTTTTTTCAAGTTTTAGAGAACTAAATTTGCATTTTGTTAAAATCAAAAAGTAGGAAAAAGATGTTTCTTTACAAATGACTTTGCTCAAGTATGTGTTCAAAGAAAACAGGATAAAAAGGCTTTTTTTCTTCTAACATTCTGTACTGTACTGTGTTGTTCAATCAATAGGAATTAGCTTCTGCCATTTGCTAAAAGAATGAGTAGTGGGGAACGGGGTAAGTTGGGAATTTCATAACTGGTAACAGAACCATTCTCTTGGGTAAACCTACAGAGAGAAGAAAGGGAGAGGACTCCAAATAAGTTCAGCAATCCAAGAAAGTCAGATAAGAGCTTACAGTAGTGTTCTCATTAACCTTTTCCAGATCAGTCAGTCAATGGGATTTCAGGGTGCAGAGTCCCATGAACAGTAACACTTCACCACTTTGCACTATTTCAGACAGATGGTTGGCTTAAAGTCTGCTTTTATTTTTGTCCTGGTGTTTGGTAAAATTGAAGTGATACTCTCAAAAGCAGAGTGTGTTATTTGGACTTGAAGCTCTACTTCATGGTCTTTATGGTAATTAATCTCTACTAGCTCGTTCTGAGTTCATTTCACAGGCCGGTTGCAACTGCAGATATTCTAGACAGGCACTGCTGAGCATAAAATACAACTCACAGGGAAACTGTTCAGCAGTTTTGATCAGCATCCAGGTAGGTCAGCCAAAAATCAAGCACCTACAGTAAATTCTGCATCTGCTTCCTTATTCTGCATTCCCTCTCCTGTATTGAAGTGGCAAATCTGGAAAGATTAACATCTGCCTGATTTCATGATTATTTTAGAGTTCTTGTGGCCTCACAAACTTCTGCACAATTAAACGTTTGTTTGGTGTTTTAATCTTGCCTATTTAAATTCTAGTATTTAACCTATGTATCCATTTAGAAATCACAAAGCAGCAACAGCAGGTATTCCAGAGCACCAGATGATCAAAGTGAAGTTTCCCAACATGCAACAGCTTACAAAGGCAAAGAGACATGTTTACCTTACAGCCAAAAAGCATTATCCCAGAACTTTGCATCACAATCATAAGACATTAAGAACAGAAACTCTTTATGTGAAAAATGGGGGCATCCAATTCCACAACGCTTTGAAGTCAGTGGTATGTCACATATACACAGCTAAGTGCTTAAAATCCAGCTCCCAAAATAGGCAAAATGAGGAAAAATCCCACCAAACAGAAGGAATGAATGAAAAAAGCAAGAAAAGCTGCAAGGAAATTTGGTAACAGTTGCATTCCTGTCTGCAGCAGGGAAAGGATTCCACATGTCACAGTGTGTCACTGCTTGTAAAAATAGGGACATGCAGATGCCACTCATCCTGGTTATCCTCTGAGACCGTTGCTTGGAAAGAACCAAGGGGATTTTTTAAAAATCCATACCCTGAACTAAATTTCCTTTCATTTTTCCCTGAGGAAACACGTAGCTATTCCTTGTGTGATGCACCACAAAGGACAACACTCCATGGGACAGCCCTGCTGCCAGCTGCCCTTCTGTCAGAGCACGTGGCCAGTCAGCAGGTCTAAAACTAGAGAGGTTTGCTCCAGTTTTGAGGGGAGAATTCCACACTGAGGGCAGCCCGTGGGCCCATCCTCCATCCTCTTTCAGTACAGAATTGGACCAGCTGGTCCCAGTCAGGCAAAACAAACACTTTCCATAAAGCAGCAGCATTCTTCCCTTCTTAGAGCTTGTACTGCTGTAAAAGTCATGAAATCAACATTTCAAAATATTCCAAACTTTTATAATAGTATCAGGGGAGTTGGCATTGCCCAAGTTACACAGATTTGGGAGGAATAAGCACTGCAAATGCTAAAAAGCCAAAGTTTCCCATAGGAAAAAGTGCAGGCCTTGAAAAGTGCTGGCCATTTGAGCAGCAGGCTGTGACCGTGGGACAGGCTGCTGGGACTGCTTCTGGGGGGCTCAGTTGTGTGTGCCAGGACATATCACTGACTCCAAACTGCTCTGCTCCCATTGCCACATAAACCTCATTCAAAGTAACCAAAAGGGCCGGTTAGAGGAATGCATTGTTAGTCCAGCGTCAAACAAGCCAGTGGGGAGGGAGAAGCCAAGTTAAGAAAAACCCTTCCATCACAGCTCTCTGGTCATCAGCTCATTTTACAATCTCCATGAAACCAGTGCTTTGCCAGCCTAATATCACATGTTTCATAGTAAAAAGCATTGTGGCAAATGACCATGTCCTGGCTGCCTTCAGTCTGATCACTAACAGTCCAAGCAACCCAAACCCATCCTGTTGTCCCAAGCAGTGGTGGTTTAGCCTGTGGGGGTGGGGGTGTATTTGCCCATAGCCTTCACAGAGTTGACAGCATTAGGGGAGATTTGTCCACAAGCCACTTACACTTGGGGACAAACATTTCACCAATGTTGCTGTAATGCCACTTAGCTAAACGTGGGTCAGAGGTGCTGAAATAGGCCCTTCGGTAGTCTTTGAATGGAGCACGGGTTGGCTGTAAAAAGTAAGGGAACTACTTCCACTGGGTTCCAGTATAAAGGGAACAGGCAATTAGAACAAGCAGTCCTTCCACAGACCAGGCAAAGCAGAGGCAAAAAGCTACTCCAACCAAAAAAGAACCACAAGGTTATGGCATAAGAGTGTTTTGTCATGGTTTAAGAGCTTTAATCTCTCTGAGTTTCTCCTGGCACTGCCCCCCCTGGGCAGCCCCCCCCCGTTGTGCCCTGGGTGTTACTGACAGTGTGTACGTACCGTAGGCTGGCGCCGCTGTGCTGTACCCATACGGTGCTCCATAGCCTGCAGGGAGACACAGACAGGGTCAGGCACACCTGCACTGGGACTGCAGCAAACACAGACACCAACACCTGGAAATGCTGCAGAAAACACCAACATCCTGTGTGGTGGCCTGAAGAACAAGCTACCCAGGGACTGCCTCAAGCCTCAGCATCAAAGAGTTAAATTCCCTATTTCCTTTTCTTTTCAGCTGAATCCCTCAAGTCTGCACTGTCAGAGCACAGAGTTGGCATGACCCAGACATCCCATATTTGCTTATGTGCTTCCTAAAACACAAGTGCAGTCTATGCAGAGAACAGTCATTTTCCTAAATTTCCATTATGAAGAGGGGAGTGCTGGATGCCTGTGACAAATGCCACATCCCCATTGGTAAAGCTCCTGTGAATTTTGCTTTCTCTGCCATTTCTAGCAGACAAAGTTCCACAGAGGACACCTGAACACCTCCACATAAACAGAGCAGGATCGTTTTCCCCCAGAGAGCAAAGTGTGACTCTGGAGTGAGACAAAAAGCAACAGAGAGAACACCAACATTGGTCACTACATCTCAGTGGTTCACAGAGGCTCTACAGGGGTTTTTTCTGTTGAGATTGCTTGTGTCATCACAAAAAGCAAGAGATTTCTGACAAGAATAGTGGATGGAGAGAAATAATCTGTGAAGGCCAAGGCCAATAAAAGCTTAACTGCAGCAACTGGGAAATTAAACTTATTTCTGGAGTAATTCCACACTGGCAAGAAGCATGCCCCTGGCAGGTTAAAGTGTCTCATAAATGACTCCTTAGGCAGACAGACAGTTCCAAAAACAATGTTAACAGCCATTAAAAATGAATTACTGGTTTTTAATATTTAAAATGACATGACCATACAGGAACAATGAAGACGGCAGGCTGCTGACTGTGCCAGGAAGGAAGGCTCCCAAACAACAGGGCTGTGCTGTTGGCACACTGAGCTGCTGGAGGGTGTAATTAGTGCTCATGCTGTAATCTGAAAACCTGAGCATGAGGAATCTAAGTGTTATTTTCTGGAAGCTGCTGGATTTGCTTTGACTAAGGCATCTTCAGCATCTCGTTCTTACAAATCTGTGGTTCTTAAAACAAGTGAAAACAATGTCTGGATTTCCTTCCCTGTCATCTGCAAACCTTAGACATGTTGTAGAGTCACAAAGAAAATGCACTTTGAAAAGTAAGGGAAAGGAGAAAGTGTCCGTTTTGTTAACTTTTTCTTGGTTAAATGTGAAATGGGAACCAGAAGCCTTTGGACTTCCAAAGCAGTTTCTGCTATCAGAACAATGCATGACTCCACATCAGCCAGAGTATGAACAGAAATTCCTTTGTTTTTGGCCACCACAGAAGCTACTGATAGATGCTTCCAGGTGCAGTTCATTTAGAAAGTTTCTGGGAGCTCAGGGACTCTGGAGCCTGCTGACTTCATGTCCACAAGGGTTTCTTGGGAAGGCCACTCCTAATGCTAAACAGCACATGATCCAGGAGGTTCTTAGGTAGGAAGAGAGTTTTGGGAATTGTGCCATGGCAGTGAACTATGAAGAAGACAAATCATAAAATAATAAAGCCAGGAAAGCCATTATGCCCATAACAGTGCTCTGTGCACACCAAGCTTCAAGTTGTACACTCACTTTAAAGGACACGCACTGCCAGCTTTCCATCTCTTTGATTTATTTAGAGCCCCATGAATTCTGCCTTCTGCTTCATCTCAGATGATTAAAGAAATCACTTACACAGGTGACTGACACACATGAAAAAGAATGCCCTGGCAGA